CCAGTCATCTCTCTCCTCTTCTCTCCTCTCCTCTCCTCCTCTCCTCCGCTCCTCTCCTCTCCTCCTCTCTCCCCCTCTCCCCTCCTTAGATTTAGAAAATTAGATGATGTTGTTTATGTTTTCCTAATCAGTCAACGCTCCTTAGTGGAGATCAGCTCGAGGCCAGGTGTGTGTGTGTGTGTGTGTGTGTGTGTGTGTGTGTGTGTGTGTGTGTGTGTGTGTGTGTGTGTGTGTGTGTGTGTGTGTGTGTGTGTGTGTGTGTGTGTGTGTGTGTGTGTGTGTGTGTGTTTGTGTGTGTCTGCACCTTTGTTCATAAAACTGTTATTTGGGAGTAGGTGGGGCTTTCTTTGGATGATTTTCCCGCCTCTCCGCCCCATACAGAGGACTCCAGGATGTACCCTTTAAAATAAATGACAAACTGTTATCGTTGTCAAGAGGTTAATAGTAATTGGTAATAGTGTTGTGATGCCTGACGTGCAGAAGCTTCCCTGTAAGGCACATGTGTCAAACCCAAGGCCCGGGGGCCAAATCAGGCCCTTGGTGGATTTAATTTCGGCCCGCAGGATCATTTCTAATTCCTATTAGATCTGGCCCTCAGGTATATTGCATGCACACCTTCACTCTATCCTGAGGGTCTCCTCCGCTCAGAGCCTGAGCCCAAACATTGATGACCTTGCACCCAAGATGAGATGCCAAGTATCTGAGCTAGCATCACAGAGCAGCACACTGAGTTTAATGGATGTTTCCTTCTGCACTTTCTCTCACGACAACAGGGCATGTTTGGTTTTCTCTTTGAGGGAAATAGTTTTGTTGAAGCTGTTGTTGGCCTGTGGAAAAATGTAATCATATAAGAAATGACTCTGGAAAAGCTGCAGATAGAGCCATAAGAAATGAATGCAACTGATTATTTAATGTTTAATGTTGTTTTTATAGGCAATCATTTAAGTTTTGTTAGTTCCAGATTTAATATGTGCAATAAGTTCATTTCAATACGTTCTGCAATAAACATTGAACCAGTCTGGCCCTCGACTAGTACCCATTTTTTTATTTTGGCCCACTGTGTATTTGAGTTTGACCCCCCTGGTCTAGATAAAGGGGTAATTCATGATTTTATAAAACTAATGTATAAAGATCATGATCCTTAATATGCAAAACATGTTCAACAAACTTTTATCCAATGTTTTATTGTTTATTTCGAATCTTGTGTTGGTCAATTTAGTGCCCCTAAATATAATGTGTTTATTTTAAATAAATTGCAAGGTGTCAAGATGACTTCTATTCAAGCCAACCCCTAATCCCTCCTTAACATTATTATATAGCATCTTTATGTTTGTTGTTGTTTGTTGTTGTTAAGATAAAGGGGAGAATCTTCTCTCTGTGTGGAGAAAACGGCATTTAAAAAAGATCTGCTTGCCTTGCCTCTCTTGGCTTTTTTTAAACAAAATTAAAGCTCAGACATTATTGATAAACTGTGAGTCATAGTTTCCTGTTGCCTAATGTGGGGGGAAGTCATTCTGTCCTTTTTTTTGTAAATGTGAGGTTTAAATGTATTCAAATGCGAACGACTTATGAGGTTATGTAACACTCCTATTTCTGTACATGTTTCAGGACAAGCAATGCAAAGCAAATAGGCTAAAACAAAAAGGTTGATTTGATTTAATTTGAAGAGACTTAAACCTTTAAAGTGTGAAAGCATAAAATCTGCCACCAGAGGACAGTATAATCAAATTTCAGTCGGATGTAACTGAAATTGAAACACACAAGTGCACTTTGAACACTTCCCCTTTTAAATTCTCCACATTAAATTAAAACAATAACCCTTTTTAATGTTTTCCATTTATTTATTCTAAATCAAGGTAAAGAAGACACACATTTACAAAATATATAATGCATTTATTTGAAGTCTACTGCAGTGCGAGTGTTCAAACGTGCGTTTCGGAGCATAAATATGTATGTATACAAGCACGATGTACAAGGGAGTTTTTATGGTTCTATATAGAAGCTCATAGGGGACTTTATTCAAAATGAAAAAGGAAAATGAAATTCTATAAATAAATATATAAATTCTAAAAAAGCATTATATGGTGGCTATTTTAGTGATTAGGAAAATGAAAATCCAATTTGCATTTTCATTTTCACAAAGTCATATGGGTGTTTCATGGCTGTATTTAAACTCAAATGGAAAGAAACTATTTAAAATATCTTCTTTTCTTTTAAACCTAACTTACTGTACAGTGAATTATTTTCAAATTACATAAAAAAAGAAAATCCAATAAAAAAAAAAGTGATTTAATTTTTCAGGTTTAATAAAAATTATAATAATAATAATAAATTAAATGTATATAACGCCTTTCAGGGGACCCAAGTTCACTTAACAGAAAAACCAGAGTAAAACAAACAACAGTCAGACAAACAGTCTGAAACAGTCTAAAAGCATAATTTGAATAAAGTCCCCTACGGGCTTCCATAGGGCTCAGATACACATGTCTATTGTCGTGTACAGACAGTTGTTGTGTATCTGTGTGTGTGTTATTTTGTGTATTTCTGTGTGTGTCTACAGCAGGTCCTGCTCCACCCACACGGTCTTCTTCTGCTCCTCCAGGATGCGCTCCTTGATGACCCTGATGAGGTCGTCGGGTCCCGCCCAGGCCTCCGGCTCCACGCTGCCGTACAGACACGGGACGCCCTCCAGCTCCTTCACTTTGGCCCGACACGACTTCACGAACCCTTCCTCCGACTCCACGCGCAGAGGCAACTTCCTGTGTGGACAGGAAACAGGAAGGAAGCAGCGCTGCGGTGTGAGCGGTTGGTAATGTTTGGAGCACATGATCTCTGTACAACACTGGTTTTTACTTAAGAAAACGTGACATCAGCGCAGTGTAAAAACATTCGGTTGCAAGTCCTACATTTGAAATTCTACTTAAGTAAAAGAACACAAGTATCGAAAGCTAATTATGCAACTAAAAAGTACTAAATGTACTCTTTCAGATGCTCAATGAAGTCTTCAAGGGGATGAAGTGGGATTTGCATATGCACTAAAGATAATCATGTGTACACACAGACTCCACTGGTTCGCTTGCTTTGTTGCGAGGCAGTTTACTATATTTGACCTTATCATTCTTACTAATAAATGATGCCTTCAAGGAAATCCATGCAAAACTTAATCAATAAAAAACTAAGTAAGTTATAAGCAACCAGACTGACCACTGATCATATGATGAGTTGTGATGATTGATCATGTTTTGTGTTTGAAATCAAAGTATCTACAGCAGATACATATATATATATATGTATATATAAATATTAATATTTCCCTCTGACTTTACTTAAAAGTACAATAATTCCCTACTGGTTTTGCAGTTTAACATCATTTCTTAGTTTAAGAGCTGAACAAAGAGGACCTTTTCCTCCTTGGAGGTGAAGTGTCATGAAAGAAGTGACGTGCTGGCCTTTGGAAAAAGGATGTGGTTTGGACTTGTGGGTAAATATGTGACAAAGACTGAGGTTTGTCGCGCTTACCGTAACTTCTTGACATTTTTATCACAGATCTTGACGTAGATGATGATCGGGTAGATTTCTCTTCGCAGGAGATCTTTGACGCAGCTCAGCTCCGCCTCCAGCAGGCAGTGTTTCCCCTGGTGGGAGAAAATTTTTTTTTTTATCACTTCGCTCTATTCCCAAGAGCCAATCATAGCGCTCTGCCAAACCTTTTAAATCTGCTCTGCCCTCTGACAGCTGTCATTTCAGGTGACTCTACGCAACCCTCCTCCACCCCTTTTCACCTCCCGTCCCTCTGAATCCAGGGTCAAGCTAAGCCCCTCCCCTTCAGACCGACCCAACCATCCATTCACCACCACCAGGGTCAAGCTAAGCCACTCCCCTTCAGACCGACCCCAACCATCCATTCACCACCACCAGGGTCAAGCTAAGCCCCTCCCCTTCAGACCGACCCAACCATCCATTCACCACCACCAGGGACAAGCTAAGCCCCTCCCCTTCAGACCGACCCAACCATCCATTCACCACCACCAGGGACAAGCTAAGCCCCTCCCCTTCAGACCGACCCAACCATCCATTCACCACCACCAGGGACAAGCTAAGCCCCTCCCCTTCAGACCGACCCAACTATCCATTCACCACCACCAGTGTCTAGACCCCGGGGGGTTTCATCGGATCGGTATTCTTACATCAAAACCGTCTCTCCTGATTGAAATGAGACATGTGTGTGGCATGATTGAAAATATAGATAAACACAGATTTAGAAAGTAAATAGTGGTATTATAACAACGAGAAAGTCCCCTTTGACAGCCTACTTAAATATATTTTCTTTAATTGGTAACTGTATAGCACGCTAAGGAGGCTTTTGTAAAAAACGTAGGAATGTGTGCTCATTCAAAGTCAGTGTGATGAAGGGCTGAAAGACAGTTCATATTTATTGTATAATAATGCATGTGTTTGTTTCCCTGGCAGAAAAAGAAAATAAATAACATCAAAAAAGGAAAAACATCAGCATTGGAAAAAGTGCTAATCTAAACATTGGCTGTTCTTGCTAGGCATTGGATTAGCTGGTGTGATGTCAACATCTCAAAATGGCAGCTCCTCTACCTGTTATCTTTTTTCAGTGGGAGGAAGACGAGACATGACGTACAGTCTATGGTGTTCACACAAACACAAACACACACACATTTGTCTCAAACAGCCTACCTTAGATGCGACAGCCTCTATGTTTTCTCGGGTGATGCATTCAAACGTGGCTTGTTTCTCTTTGTAGTGAATGAAGGGCTCCACGTTCTGTTTCAGATGAAACTCTTCTTTCGACAGGGTGTCTAAACAAAAGAAGTGTCATGGTTTTGAGTATGCCTTCTTTTACTTAAAGAGGACACATTCTGCTCATTTTCAGGTTCATATCAGTACTTAGTGTCTCTACTGTGACATGTCTCCATGCTTTAATGCTCAGAAAGCTCTTTATTTGTCTCATACTGTTTTTTTGGCTGCAGATCTTTTCACCCTCTGTCTGAAAACCCAGGTGGCGAGACAAACGGATTTTTGTATCATACAATAGATGTATTCATTGTCCCGTAAGGCGAATTTGTTGCGTGAGCGCCTCCTGCGTTGATCATGTAATATACAAAAATAGTAGACATTAAGGAGACATGAATATCATGACAATCTCGCCCGTTTGAAACAAACACCAATACACAGCACGCACCATACTGAAATGGCGACCTAACTTGCACAACCTCTTCATTGGCCAAACATTTAAAAGTACATTTCATTACTTTGATACATTTCATTTCATGTGAGATGTTAAGAAGCTTAATCGACCATTCCTTGTTTGACTTGGTACAAATTGGGCGATTGATTTGTGCACCTTTTGTTTGAGTCGTACTTGGTTGTTTTCTGTCCTTGCTGCTGTGACAAGAAGGTAATAGAATTATGGAAAGGTTATAATTAAACCTTTTAAAGTAGAACTGTTAAATGTATTCTAATAGCTCAAACCCATTTAATTAGCAGAAGAACAGAAACGGCTGAGGTTTTGAGGGAATTCTCAACTAAACTAAGGACATGACAGTCCAATTGGTCCCTTCGTTGATGGTGACCCAGCATTTAGTCCGACCCACCTGTGTTACTCTCTGTATCGCTAAATAAAGATAATGAGCCTATAAACCACCAAGCGTGTTGATGTCATACATTAGTCAATCACTAGTTATCAACTGGGCCATCTTTCTTCCTGCTCTCTGGTTTCACTTATTAACATTAACACAGTGCAGCCACAATACTTGACACAAATCCGACCTTTTACTCCTTTATCCACTATCTGCCCGATCTTTGACTCACAATAGTTGGACACATTGGGAATACACCACCAGACGGAAACTCCCTTCGTGAAGACTTTGAGAGCGACCATGCTTTCACAGTAAATGTCCCTCTCCCCCCTCTTCCCCCCTTGCCCACACAGCACCTATAACTCCCCACAGATACTCAATCCAGCACCAGAACTTTTGCGCTGCTATGGACAATCTTGCACTAATGTACATTCCAAGAGTGTATTTTGTATATATTGATTGTTGTGTTTTTATTTAATAATGTGCATGTGTGTATAGAATGTCTCAGTTGATTTGTGTATAGATACACAACTATTACTACTACACATTTGTCTTTTGGTATTGGGGATTGTGGGGAAACCGGTATTTCGATCTCTCCGTCTGTACACACAAACTGAAAGCATTGACAATAAAGTTTGACTTTTTGACCTTTGAAATGTGCGTGGTTTATTCCCATCACACACTGAGCCTGGTCTGCAGATATTATACGTATAGTTTCTTTCTCCTTTCTACTCTGTTCTTGTATCCACTATCTCCGCCATCTTTGACTCACAATAGTTGCGACACATTGGAATCACACGCAACCAGACGGAAACCTTCCGTTACTGAAGACAGCGTGAGATGACAGTCGTTCTGACAGTACATGTTGCCTGTTTGTTCCCATCTTACACTGACCTGTTTGCAGGTATGATAGTCCATGGCTTCCCCACTGTTGAGTATTTTCTGGATGATGGTTTTTGCCAGAGCGGTGCGCGCAGCGCACACACGAGGACGGCCCTCCTCCTCTGGGTCCCGCTGGGGGGTGACGGGGCTGTAGGGGATCAGGGGTTCCGCTACCCCCGGCTCAGCTCCGCTGTCTGGGCTGCAGCGTCTGTTAAGACACACACACACACACACCACACACACACACACACAACACACACACACACACACACACACACACACACACACAGCACACACACACCACACCAGCCAACACCCACAACACACACACAAGCACACACCCAGCACCACACACACCAGGCACACACACCACACACCACACACGCACACACCACCCACACACCACAACCCCCGGACACCACAAACACACAAAACAAACACCAAAATAAGACTCAAAGATTCAGGGCTTTATTTTCATTTGTGAGCATAGCTACGTGGCGGTCTCAATTGTCCGTATCGTTTGAGTCGCCGAGAGGCTTAGCTTTGTGCGCCATAAGGCTTGCGCGCGTGACCGGCCGTTTCAAACAGGAAAGTCCAGTACTGAAGGCACATATAGTTTCACGATATTTAATTAACAAACATGCAAAAAACCCAGTAACCTATAGGGACCAAACGGTCCAACCAGAAAAAATGAACAGCCAAGCCTGACCCTCTTTGTCCATCCGCACATCGACAGTGCAAAATGGCTGACCTACAAGTATGACCATAAACACAACACATGTGACAATTAACGGAGTGGGGACACTCAACAACATACAACGTAGACATACAAATAATATCAAATACTACATAATACAAATATAAGCAGGGCTAGGTAACAAATATTTGCATCCTACTGCTAAGCCAGTGTAGATTAAAGTGCATTTATCTTAATTGTAGACTGTTTGCCCCCTTAACAGAATCAGCTTTTCAGTAAACCCCGTACAAATGTGACACTCCAAGGAACCACCGAATAACTTATCTTACAGAAAGTTAGCC